TAAGCAATCGTGCAGTTCCAACATTGTCACAAATTACAAATTCATTGCACAGCCTAAGTTCTCATTTCACTCAATAATAATTCTGTCACAGGAACTTATCCACAAACTTATCGAACAAAACTTGTGATATTTCTTGGAAATTTTTAAGCTTCGTTATATTGGATTATGGGAGTTATTGGTTGTTAAATAATTAATAATCCTCATTTTAAACTATAAACTTTTATTAGACACAAGGAAGGTTCGCTTTTCTACTTGATGGTAAGAGCACTGTATACAGACTGAGAATGCTCCTACGCAACGCCCTAATATTGTCTACGACCCCGCTTGGGACCGAAGGGCCTTTTGTCACGTATCATAAACATTTAGATCTTTACTAAACAGAGGTGGTAAGGCTAAACGGATTTCTCCGAACGTGTACAAAAGTAATATATACTTCCTAGTAAGGCGTTAGATTAATTTTTGTTATATCTAACTGACTGATAAATCTAACACGTTATATCGTGATTTTGAAATTATTACTTGACTATTGATCATTTTAACAGTTGAGACATTCTGTTATTCCAGGAAGAACGCTTCGATAATTTTGCTTCTATACTGAGATCCAATTTTCTGAGCAAAGGGTTTGAAGGTTAAATCCTTGCTTCTCTCACTAAAATATAAAAATGTAATCAACGTGAGTAGGTATATGAATCAAGTTTTACTGTATCTTGTTTAGTTCATTAATAGTGACATCTTCTCATGGAAAAATTAAAGAAAGAAATGAAGAATTCTTTGAAAAATTACATCTTTGCTTTCAAGCTATATTTTTCAATTCTAACATACCAATATGCATACGAAGGACCTAAATTTTAGTAGTTTACTTTGAAGATATATCGCTATACTAATCATTGCATGTAAATTGAACATTACATCTTTCTCTTGTGCAGTAGAATAAAATCGGAGTAATTCTATTTTTTGCTAAATGTGTATGTCTCTCTACACAGGCCTCGGTTATATCGACGTTCAATTTGCCTGGAATTCTTACAATTTACGGGAAGAGTAATTTCCTTTAAATTGTGATTCGAGGTTGGAGCAAAGTACAAAGAAAAGGGTGAATTTTATTTGCAAAAAGTGAAACACATTCTACTCGCAGTAGAACAATCCGTTCCAACTCCTCCTCCTCCTCGAGTCAACGCCCTAACACGTAAATTTCGTCAGACCACGATATTAGCGTTCTCACTACAGAGAACATCGGTCAAACACCACTTCTTCTTCTCGCGCGTACGTTTGTGTGATGCACGATCGTTTTCGAGCGTTGCACCATTGTGTTTGTGTCTGGTCAAGGTGCCCGACACTGCCGGTATTATATACCGGACTTGGCCTTGCAGCCACTCTCGTGTCCTCGTCTCCCGCCCTCTTTGATACGATTTAAAGCCGCGTTCACAATTCGCGCCGCTAGAGTTCAAACTAGCGGTGGGAGTGATGCAAGTCTTTTGCACGATTTTCGAGGAATTCGGTGATCGAGCAGTTGTTTTGAAAATTTGACACGTTAATCCTTGTGTCAATAACCAGAATTGTCGTCTACTTTATCGTCCAATTTTAGTAGTTTTCTGATAACAAAATTCTAAACTTGAGGCAAACACGGATAGGAAATGTGCCAAATAGCAACGATCTGGCCGGATATTTAAATCTTTTACCTGGAAGATCAAATATTTTAAGTGAGAATTTTGCAAAAGGGTACCCGGTTAGGAATCCAATTTCACTGCCCGAAATATAAGCGGTATTTAACAATTTTTGTTTGGTAAACTAGTAAAGATATCGTAATAATTCTTCTTTTTTTTCATAGAAAGGGACATTCTTAGACTATAATGAAAAAATTTTGTTCAATGTTATTTTTAATATTGTTATTGTAAAGCTTACGCTTTAAGTTGGCACTGGTTTAGTTCGAACAGGAAGTGCAACTTCTTCTAAATTTCAATTATAAGATATGTATCTTACTGTTCTGAATAGTATTTCAAAATTTTTATTTCTATAAATATATTTTCCTGTTTTTTTTTTTTTTTCTATAATTATCGAGTATCTGTTATATTTTTCTGTAGACAGTATATTTTGTTACACCAGCTGTTATTATAATATTCGTCAATACAAATCATTTTATAAAGATTGAACAAAATAATAAAACGATGATTACAATAGAGTGAAAGTGACAGTGGAGATTATGCACCAAAAAGAAACATAATCTTAAAAAGTCCAAACTCGGACCGTATTATTTCAAGTGCCATGACTGCGTTCAATGAATCAGAGTAACAAAGACAGCACAGAATTCTGCGGAAAACTCAGTTCAGTAGGTTAATCACTCGACGTTCAATGGCGGCGCATCTTTAAAAGGTTAAACGACACTTCGGCCACTGATCGTCTGCGTGTGTTTCCGCGGGAAATATAATTACCTCGAGGTCGTAACTCTCCTTCGCGACTTCTATTTCGAGTGTTACGCTCGCCTCATTCACGTCGTTTATTAAATGTCGTTGCTTTAATTACGCAACGAGCAATTGTGCAAACGGGTCTGAAGGTCGTCGACAGACTTCGAAACGAAAGCTCTTTTCGTTTCGTTTCAAACGTCAAGTCCAACTTTTCTAGACAAAAATTCTCGCGTTTCGCAGTTCTATTGCAAGCGGCAAGCGGCTTTTCACACTTGAACGCTGTCCTACGAGAAGGATGATGCTTCGATCCTCAAGAAGATTCGGGTAACCTGACCCCGTTGAGGCTAGTGTGTCAAGGGTAACGTGTGCTGGTTCATGACGTAAGAACTCCCGTGGAAATTACCTGTTGCAAGGTTAGCAAACAACCGAGTGGCGAGAAAAAGCAAACTGAGCTTCAGGGAATCGAGTAGCAGAAGCTTTCTTAGAATTGCTTCTATCTGGCAGATGAACAATGTAGATAATATTTGATAATCTGTTAGGGAAAACTCTAACCGCTAGCGAAATAACCACGTGTAAACGTCCTAGTAAAGTATCGAGCTAAAAATAAGGGATACGTCGAAGCAGTAGTGTTATAGATATTAGAGTGTTGAGTAGTGGATGAATCTTTTTGTGGTATCGAATCGTTTCGTGCGCGAGAGAAATGGAAAAATGATGGGGCATGGAAGAGGAAGGGAGAGTGGCGAATAACATAAGAGGACCTGGCTTTCCTGGAAGTTCCTCCATTTTGTTTGTCTCTTCTCATCTCTGTTCAATATTTTGAAGTTTTCTCTAGTATTTTCTAGTTTCTCTTGCTACTCTGATTTTTCTAAACTATCTCTAGCTTCCCCCGAATCTCCCGATCTTTCTCTGCTTCTCCTTGGATTCTGTGTGTTTCCTTGCCTGCATATAGCTCTATTCGACCCTCCTGAACCTCCTTCGGTACTTCCTAGCTTCTCTTGGTACACAAATTTCTCTCAATTCTATCTAACTCCGCTTGGCTCTCCCTGTCTCTCCCCGGTTCTCCGTGGCTCTCCCGGGTTCTACACACTCCCACTCGCTTTTGCAGGCTCTTCTTCGTCATTCCCGACAATTACACCCCTCTCCCATTCGTTCATTGCCAATGGAGGGTGACGATGCCCGGCGGAACCCCATTTAAGCGTCATTTATCTTCTGGTCATCTCGAGCTGCCGCAGAAAAGCTACGACACGCCGTGTACACGCTAAGGTCTGCGAATCGAGCTCGAAATAGAGCGTTAAAAAAGCAGCGCGATGACGGAGCAACGCGAATTACGACGACGAAGCGTCGCAATCGAGCAATTTGTATTCTTGCTCGACGTTGCTGCTACTTCTTACTACGGAGACACAAAACTGCTGCTGTTGCTGCGCCGTTTGTAATTACGCGACGCCCTCCATTTTCTCGTCTTGTTAGAGCTGTTACCCATTTTCTCCCTACGTCGAAAGGAAACAGGGCTTTTTGCAGAAAAAAATTCACGATACACAAATGACGCGAAGCAATGTTTCAACCTGTAATTTAGACCGTGTTGATAATTCCGCGATAGTGCATTCAGAGAAGTTTAACGATCGTTGTAACTGACGGCGATGCTATATTTAGATATCTGGCTGTTCATCAGAGAAACGTTATGACGCGTGTGGAACACATAGTTACGTTCATCTTCGATTCTTGTTCTTCCTGTAACTGTAAATCGTCGACTCTCGCGTAATTAACGTGGCTGCATCGCGGATCAAGACGCGTCGTCCTCGATCTATCGGTCGACGATGTGGAATCGCGACTGACCGAGGCTGAAAGTAAAAGGACGACGCGTCGTAAATATTAATGGGGTAAAAGTGTAATTTTGCGGAGAGAATCATTGAGAGGCAATATCGTTTGAGATACGTAGAAACGTTTCCTGAAATTGAAACATTTCGCTGTTCAGAACGATTATTACCATTAGTCAGAATTTTTAAGGGTGAAAATTCTAAGCAATTAATTTGAAGAATTAGAAGTAAGAAATTGCAACAGCTCTCTACCGTGTGTCTGCACAATATTTTTCTTCCATTTTAGATTTCATAATTCAATTTTCTTCGTTTAACATAGATATATTAGTAATGAAAAAATAATAAAGAGTTAACACGTTCTCTGTCCAACGACTATGAATGCAAACTTAATCTTCCAAAAACAAATGACAAATTATCTCGCCTTTTTTTAGGACATATTCCTTGCATTCAAATAGCATTGTTAATTTAATTGTTTTCATAATAATTCAAACATAGACTTCCTTTTGTATCATAAAAGCATGTGTGTACGTGGACGAGTTCAAATTGTCCTGAGTCATATGTGGTTTAGTGGACAGTTAACGTTTTAATACTTCATAAAGTGGTGCACTCACTATGGACCAATTAAAATAAGGCAACATCTATCGTGACTTGGAAAACAAAACATTCAACGAGAAGTTGTTAGAAGTCGAAATTAAATTAACCTGACAATTTTTCTTCTTTGAAATGTAAATTTTGTAATTGAATAAAATTCTAGGTTTTTATTTTATAAAAAAAATGTTTGTTGCAGGGCTGAGTCTGGACAACAGCAATATGTCCATGTCCTCCGTGGGCCCACAGAGTCCACTGGACATGAAGCCCGACACAGCGAGCCTCATCAACACCGGAAACTTCAGCCCTTCCGGTCCAAATAGTCCGGGGTAAGTAGCAACGTCAGATGCAAAGCTGTTTTTGGAACTTAACAGTTGACGAACAGTGTGTCGATGGAAGAGAGTGTGTGCACTGATACATGATCGAATCAGTTCGACAGATGTCAAGAAAATAGTATTCTGGCGACAGACGTCGTAAATCGAGGGTATACTATGAGCGTAGTCGCGTCCTCGGTAATATTGGGCAAAATACTTCCCCTTCTTTTCCTCCGTTTTATTCTCCGCTTGTAACGCATAAAACGTCGAGCCAATTTTCAAGGGAGAGGAATTTCAAACTGTACAAAATTAAAAGTAGTAATTCTTAATAAAGTGTAGTAAATTAAATTTGTTCCAAATTAGGGTACGTCAACCCTACGTTAGTCTAGTGAATTTTCATGGGATTTTGAGAATTTTTGAGAGTTTAAGAACTTGAACCCATTGAAATGTTATTCGTGAATTTGAGGATAGGGGGATTTTAAAGTCGACAAAGCGAGATAAATTGAATTTCTTCGATTTAATATGTAAAAATAAAAATTCGAAAATTGTGACGTTAGGTTTGTCAGATCGCAACAGACTTAGCCACAGTTACAAAGAATTAAAATTAATGTTATTTTCAATGAAGAAAATTGGATGTTTCAAGTGTTACAATTTCGATTTTGAATGAATACAGGGTGCTTGAAAGAAATGTTGTTTAAAATATTAACAATATAGGCAATCACATTTGCAATTTTCTGTTGAACAGGGTAATTTACTTAACTTGACGACTTGAAATTATTCATAAACTACTTATTATATGAAGCAGTGTATGAAGCAATTTTTCCTACATTGTTTACACAAAGGTTTATAGATCACCTTGATTTTTTTATAATGGAACACAGTATATTTCTTCACGGAAATTAAAAGAGCATGAAAAACTGAGTAAATAAGTTTAATATGCATGCCCAATTTTTTCATAAGTTCGCACGTTTTAATGAGAGGATTAAAATTACGGTGTCCTGAGAATTAAAATTACAAAAAAATTTTTTAAATTAGAAATTGACGAATTTAAAATTAAAATTAAAAATTTGAAAGGTCAAAAGAATTTGAGTGTTTGAAAAGTTGCAAATGTGGACATTTCTCAGTTTGAAAATCAGAAAACTTAAAAGTGTGAAATTCGAAAACTCGAGAATTGGAAATTTGAAAATTTGAAAATTCGTAAGTTTGAAAATTTCAAAGCAAGCTTGTACACTTAGTATCCGAATATTTTTTAGAGTAACTGTATGTGCATATGGTAGCGAACGTCTTAAGAAGACTTCTTTTAACCCTTACGTCAATAACTGGGTACCTGGGTACCCTTTTGCATAATTCTCACTTAAAATATTTGATCTTCCAGGTAAAAGATTTAAATATCCGGCCAGATCGTTGTTATTTGGCACATTTCCTATCCGTGTTTGCCTCAAGTTCAGTATTTTGTTATCAGAAAACTACTAAAATTGGACGATAAAGTAGACGACAATTCTGGTTATTGTCATAAGGGTTAAACAGTATATGATTGTTAAAATTCGCGAGTCAAAGACACAGTATTTTGCTCGATCCGGGACAGTAGCTTCGTAGGCCGAGTTTTTGTTATTCTCTTCTTTGCATGTAAGATCCTTCAACGCTGGTTGTCACAGCAACCTTCTGAGCACGTCGCCGAGTGGCCAGAACAAAGCAGTTGCGCCCTACCCGCCGAACCACCCTCTTTCCGGAAGCAAGCACCTCTGCTCGATCTGCGGTGACCGTGCCAGCGGAAAGCACTATGGCGTCTATAGGTGAGTTGAATATCTATGCCAGAAAATTCTCCAATCGTGGGTTATTCATTTCGTGCTGATGATAAATCTGAGAAATCGTGTGCCAAGTAGGTTTCGAAGCTTCTGTAATTGGATCCGTCTTGTATATTTCTTTTTGGGATAGGGGATGAGGAATTGAAGACTCGATTATTACATCGTCATTGTAGTCTGCAATTTTTTACATTCAATTGATCAATTTCTTCTTTTACAAATTTCTTTACTCTTTCTCTTATATTTTATATTTAATTGTTCAGTTTTTCTTTGTTGAAATTTGTTTATTCTTTTCCATGCATGCATGCATTTTGTAGTTCTGTATTTTTTATAT